AACTTTTGCCTCAGGGTCATATCGAGATTCGTTGCCAGTTTAAAAATAAAAATAAAAATTGAAAAATAAAATTTTATTTTTATTTATTTTAGTCCTTTTTTACCCGGCCGGGCAAGTGGTCCCGCGCCACTCTGGTAGGCTTTAAAAAACTGAAAAAAATCGTTTTTTTTTTTTCGGCCCCAAAATTATCCGCCCCCCTTAGAAAAAACCCCAGATTCCGCCCTCCCGTTTTTGAAGTTCTTATGTTTTTTTTTTGGTGAAGGGGTAGGGGAGCCCCCCCCCGACTCAAAACCCGCTCCCGACCCCCCAAACCCTCTCCCCGATCGGCCGCAGCCTCGGCCGAAAGTTCGTGACCGGAGCGGCCATGACCAGAGGGGTTTCGGCCACGGCCAGCGGTCGCGGTCATGCTCGAACTCGGCCGCGGCCAAGGGGATACATAGCCGCACCCTCGACCTATTCTCAAACTTTATATAGGTAAGATTTCGGGGTTGCTTCAGGGACCCTCAAGGATCAATGAAACATCCAAGTGGGCCATTTTTGGTAAGCAGAACTGGCCATGCAAGATGAACTGAAAGTCGAGCTACGATGCTAAACTGCGCTCTAACCCAAACACCACAAAGGGTGTTGATTGATACACACAGCAGGACGGTGGTCATGGAAGTCGAAATCCGCTAAGGACTGCGTAACATCTCACCTGCCGATTAAATCAGCCCCGAAAATGGACCGTGCTGAAACGCACGACCTATGCTCGCCCATCGTGGCGATTCTGATGCCGAGACGAGTAGGAGGGCGCAGGGCCTGCTGCGACGCTCCCCCGGGGTGGTCGACGATGAGAAACTTCTTGCACATTCAAGTCGACGAATTCGAAGACCACAATTCTCAATTTCTTATTTATTTTTTCGAGGGTTTGGGGGGGTTCCAGCATTGCAATAACCACAGAACATTGCCATACAGCATCGATAATGAAACGGTTTTCACCTTTTTGCAGTAACAGATGCAGATCCCAAGGCTCGATCCCTAGACTTCACCCTACCCATGTACAGTATTTGTGTAGACCCCGAGAGTTGAACCTGTGACCTGTGTATTCGTAGACAGGGTAGGTCTCTCATAGGTCCGTAGATAGCAGGGGTTCGATCTGTAGATCTATAGAGTAGAAGTCTAAGCGAGTTCCAGAAGTCTAGCTGTAGTCCTTCTAGAAGGTCGGCAAATGGGCAAGTGGTCAAGTGGCGAGTCATGTGGTGGACTTAGCTGCAGTGCAATCACAGTCCAACCTCGGTAGGATAGCAGTGAGTCCACAGTCAGTCAACGGTAAGGTCCAGTCAGTCCCAGTCCGGTCCAGCAAGTACCACGGGGGACTGTGAGCACCATGGGTCGATGGCAAAGGGCAGACCAACGAGTTTCCGAAGTATAAATCAAAAGGCAGCACCCAGCCTTTCATTCATTCCTGCGTGAGCCATGCGGAAGCACTGCCACAGCGACTTGTGCAAGGAGGTCTGCAGTGAGCCCCGAGGACGCAGTGGGCGAGAGAGGAGGAGCTTAGTATAGCGATAGGGTACAGGCAGCCATAGCTGCCATAGCTGTAGTTAGTGTAAAGTGTGTGTATGTGTGAGTGTTCAGAGTGACGCATGTGGGATATCCAGGGTGATCCGGTGTGTGTGAACAGTGAGTTGTTTGGGCGATGAGTCACCATAGCCAGTTGGAAGTAAACTCGTATCTGGAAGCCATATCTCTGAGTTTTGAGTGGGCACATGTCGCCAGTTTGCTGCGCTGCTGTTTACATGCATGAAAAGTGTGAATAAGAACGAGTCTGATTGCATTGGTATCGGAGCTGGTACCCGCTATTCCATGCGCGCCGTCGTGTGCAGGGCCTGATGCGCCATAGCGAACCTCGGAACCTGAGGTTGGACTCGGAGAAGCTGCCGCGCACCTGCAAAGAAGTCCACGACGAAGAAGAAG